CGCGGCTGACTCTGTTTTTTATCGACATAGGTCTTTAACCCTCTCTGACGGCGGCGGGCTGGCCGGTTGGGGTCGAGAAAGGCTGCACAGCAGTTGGGTCAGACTTTGAGAGGGCTGAAGACAGAGTGGGGTAACAGATCAGCTGAGGTTGCTGAAGGATTTGTGCTAGGTAAGGAGCCGTGTTCCCCGGCGCTTGGACCGGCCTCCCTGCGGTCAGCCCGGCAGCTCTCATCTTCCATGATGCTGGGTGGTGCGGGGGGTTCCCACATATTTCCATTGCCCCACCCCACAAACCCCGTATTTCTAATGCCCTGGGCTGATGTGACTGCCTAGAGCCCCAGGAGATGCTGTGTATATTCTCCACAAAGTAAATCACACCTTTTCATCTGACCTTTGGTTGTCAAGAAGAACCTGAGGCACAGAATCGGAAGTGATGACAAAGGGGAGAACCCTCGAGCAATGCTGAGGTTCCAGCAAGACTGGGTCTTGTGAGCTGTAGGACCCTGGCCCTCCATCAGTGCCTCTAAAATGAGAGGGGTTGCCCTGCTGGCGTGGCTTAGCTGTTGAGCATCGGCCTAGGATCCAGGAGATAGCTGTTCGATTCCCCCGTCCGGGCACACTCCGGGATTGTGGACTCGATCCCCAATGGGGGGTGTGTGCGTGTGTGTGCAGGGGGCAGCCAATCAATGACTCTCTCATCATTGATGTTTCTATCTCTCTCTCTCCCTTCCTCTCTCTGAAATCAATAGAGACCTATTTAAATAAATAAATAAATAAATAAATAAATAAATAAAATGAGAGGGGTTAGGCACATTGGCCTCCAAGGGCCCCCTCTTCCAGCTGTCAGATTAAATTCTAACCTTTTGCTTTGTTGGAATATTTTGGCCTTTATTTTGAAACCTCCTTTATTTCCTGATAGCTTATCTGACTGATTAGCAATAGGGGCAGTAAGTTAACCCCAGTCTCTGGGACCTGGTTAGCAGTTAACTAAAGGACGGGAGGGCACTAGGTAGGCAGGTGGACCAAGCAGTGAAGCCAACCTTGGCCATTTTCAAATCCCACAGAAAGCAGTCAAGGTTCTGGAGTAGATAATGTGTCGTCATTACTAAGAAAAGAGGAAAACTCATCAAAGTGTCAGGGTTGAGTTTTTGTGTCAGGAGTCAGACAGATAGTGTAAGTGGAACTGTAGGGAACTGCCAGGAGTACAGCTTCCTCAAATGGCCCCAGCCATTGATACCATGCAGAAGGACTGGCCCCATGCAAAATAAGTTAAACAAAATATGTCTCAGGACTTGGCCCAGATCATAGGCTGTATGTCCATGCCCTCCGGTTACACAGAAGATCACAGCTGCAAACCAATGAGCTGGGAGGATTTCTCAGGCTGTGGTGGGCTAGATTATATAATATTGGGAAAAGGAATATTAGGTTTCTAGTGGTGATTGCAGCAGATGAATTCTTTCTTTAGAGAAAATGGCATCTTCCTCAGGTTCCCAAGCACCAACTATAAATAATGTTTTCTTCACCTGGGCAGTGTGGATAATGTTCTATGGGAAATACAAAAATGGAGCCCCCTTTTGAGGAGGGTGCTTCCAGACTCGTGGAGTTTTGTTTTTATCCTTCTGCTCTCCCACCCCCCACCCCAATGCACACAGTGCTCTGTATAGTATAGCACTGGGGCTCAGGGGAGGTGGAACATCACAAATTTGATCATACAAAAATATTTGTTCTGCTGTGCATGAGGAGAAGGGCCTGGAACATGCCCAGCTGGTTGTCAAAGGAAAGGGGGCACTGGATATCTGTGTGCGATCATTAAAGCTGCAGTTCAGGCAGTTTCCCTCGCCATGGCAGATAAATTTGAATTTGCTTTTGATGGTCCCTGGAGACATGGCCTGTCTATCAGTCAGTTGGTGCTCCCTGCTTTCTGGATCCCTTTGAGGAGAGGCCCCCATCCCAGTACCTACCCCAGAATTTCATGGCTGCCTTCTGTCACCTTCTGTTGTGCAGTTTTAATCCCTTTTATGCTAAGACTTAAAGTATTATTGGAGCCTCCATGAATTGTTAGATTGAATAATAGGAGTTTCATTGTTGAAAATATTCTGGCACCTGTCTGCTGCCTGGAAGATGCTTTTGCCCTTCAGTCACTACTGGCCACCTTGGCAGAGTCCTTTGGCTCAGTTCGATGGTGACTGGTATCCTGCATACTCAAATCTAGAACAGTTGTGGCCAACTCTCCATTTCTCAGGCCCTGGTGGTTTTTGTGCATTATCCAAGTTTCTAGTTCCTGCTGTTTGAAGGTGAATATTGTTTTAGCTGGAGAGGCATCAGTGTACTATGAGTAAGAAACAGCCCAGCTTACCCCTAGCTGGCTTGACTCAGAGGATAGAGCGTCGGCCTGCTGACTAAAGGGTCCTGGGTTGCAGGCTTTATCCCTAGCCCTGGTTGAGGCTCATGCATGTGTCTCTCTCACATCAATGTTTCTCTTTCCCCACCACCCCTTCCACTCTCTCTGAAAAGCAATGGAAAAAATATCCTTGGATAAGGATTTTAAAAAAAGTCAGAAACAGCCCAACTTGGCACTTTTACTCCGGTTCTTCTCTTCATGGTCTTCTCTGAAGAGAAGCAACCCAGAACTGACAGTAGTCACGTATGCCGATGGTTTGAATCACAGCCACGAGCTAGCCCTTCTTTCCTTTTAGAAGTCTTGCAAAAGAAAACAAGAATCATAAATCTGGAAGAGCTGATTTCCATGAATATGAACATGAACTGTTTTCTAGGTTTTCTTACTGATGTGGTTAAATGAGGATATTCTCTTCTCTATGAAAGGAACTTAGAAAACCCTGCACGGTGAGCCTCATGCTTGGACGTTTGCTGCATGTTGTTCTGGGATGTCACATCCTCCTGCTGCTGCATCGTTGAGGACTTGTTTTGAAGTCTGTGTCTGATGTGGCCTCCTGTGCACACGGACTAAAACTGCACTCTCCTTCAGGTCCAGCCCTGTTGGGAATCCTCCTCCATCACACAGATTCGAGGAAGAGCTTGATCGTGGAACAGGGCGCCATGAAGGTTGAGTTACTGCCAGCCCTGACTGACAACTACATGTATCTGATCATCGATGATGACACCAAGGAGGCCGCCATTGTGGACCCAGTGCAGCCCCAGAAGGTGGGAGGTGTGTCGCTGGCACCAATTCTTCATCCCCTGCTGGGTTTGATAACTGCAGTGTTCTTACAGCTTGGCCAAAGTTAACTGGAAATTAATCCACTTAGTTTTTTACAAACAATTTAGTGCCCAGTCACTGTTGTTTTGGCAAAGGGCCAATGAAAGGGGTGGGGGTGACCAGAGGCTTTGGTGTGGAAAGATATGGGCTTGTGTTTATAAAGTCCCTGGGCAGAGAAGCAGGGGCTGTCCTAGTCACTGTCTACTCTTACTTGAGGATTTGTGCCCTTGGCCAGAGGGACTTGGAGAGAGAGGTCTTGGGGGGCATTGAGTTGCTAAGTGGATCAAGAGAAAAAAAGGCCACCTTTACCTGCTCTATGAAGTTAGGTCGAATTGGCAGGGTCAGGACAGGGCCTGGACATTCCTGGCACACCCTGAGTTCCACTGGGCACCCCGCCTTGCAGGCTGGTGAGCCAGCACTGGGAGTGTGACAGTGGCCTCTGTCCTGCCTCATGTTTGGTTACAGGTTGTAGAAATGGCAAAAAAGCATGGGGTGAAGCTGACTACACTGCTCACTACCCACCACCATTGGTAAGTGTTCCACTCCAGAGGCTGAGCTCCTTCCAGGCCAGCAGAGCTGATTAGGCTTAATGGCTTCATGCCAGGCACACCCTTAGGGTGGGGTTGGGTGGGGTTCTCACAGGCTCTCTGGGCCTTCCTGAAGTTGGCAGCCTGGGTTACTTCTGCTCCCATAGCTATGACCACTGTGCAACTTAGAGTCTGCCTCCAGTGGGATTTTGAGAAGGCTTCGGGCCTCAGCCTTCATGCTGCTACCCCGTTCCCTTGGGCTTCCAGGCCCTAGCCCCTTGGCCTATGATGGGGTCTGATAACTTGGAGGCTCCATGGGGAGATGCTTGTGCTGTGGATCCTTCTGCTGTAAGAGGACCTCCAACACTGTCTTTGAATGCACTTGGGCTTGTGTGATGGGATGTTGGCCTCACTGTTGGGGAAGAAACTAGACTAGACATTAGTGTTTTAAAAAATCAGCAGCCAGTCCAGCCAGTGTGGCTCAGTTGTTGAGCTTCGACCCGTGAGCCAAAAGGTCATCAGTTCCCAGTCAAGGAACATGCCCAGGTTTGGGGCTCGATCCCCACTAGGGTGTATGCAGGAGGCAGCCAATAGATGTTTCTATCTCTCTATCCCTCTCCCTTCCTCTCTCTCTCAAGTCAATAAAACATATATAGAAAAATAAAATTAAAATAAAAGTCAGCAGCCATATGAGGAGAGGTTGCTTAGTGGTGGTTTTTGGTATTTAAAGGCTAAAGGGTAAAAGAGCACCCATTTGGGTTTAGGACCAGAGCTATATGTTCAAGGTCCTTTTGGGTTTTTAAAACTTTTGAGGCTCTTCAAAGCTAAAAAAATAATGTTTCTTTGGCTCTGACCACCTCCCCCACCCCGGCTTTGTAACATCACTGTAAGGTAGCCTGCAGGAGCTCTGCTCCACCGGCTTCTTTCTCCCAGTAACTCACCAGGAGTGTCGTATGGATGTGGTTTGGCCAAAGTTTGTTAAATGGTGGAAATGTCGGTGCTGATGTAACTAAGTTGCTGAGTCTCTGGGACATCAGGTGCTAATTACTGAGAGGACAGGACCTACAGCCCCGTCCTTGGCCTGAGCTACTTAGTGCAGCCACTCTTTTTTTGGAGAAATCCACCTGTGCTGTGCTTTATGCCTCTTGAGCCTCCATATGGCTGCAGGAAGCTCCCCCCTTTCCCAGCTTTGCACAGTTTGCTTCTCTCTCCCACCTAAGTAACCCCCACATCAGATGTCGCTTTTCTGGAGGGTTTTCTCAGCACCTCATGTTTATGCTAGAATATAAACCCTAAACCAGGCCCTAAATCGAGCTCCAGGGTGTGGCCTGTGCCTCCCTCCCATAGGTGGTGGTGGTGAGTGGGCTGAGGGGCTCACCCTGGCCAGTGTGTAACAGCCCTCCAGGGGAGGAGGGCAGAGGGTCAGCCTCCTCTTATCTCCGGCCCTGCTGTTTCTGGGCCCATTAGGAGAGTCCATAGGTGAATGTGTAGTGAGGGGCAGGTGTTCCTTTGTGACCAGAAAGCCCTGGCCTTGTCCTGGAATGGCTGATCTTTAGGTGTGGGCACATTCCCTGCCCTGCCCTGCATTCAGGGCCTGGCTGGGCTAGTGCTGGAGTAACTGACCCCCTTTCTCAAATGTGACTGAGGCAGGGGCACGGAAGTGCCTGGCATGGGAACAGGGTGCCTGAGGACGTTCTTATTCAGTGCAGCCAAATGACAGACAAGAAGCCAGTTTCCTGTGTTGGAAGATGTGTTTCTACTTCTGAGAAACATAACTAGGCAAATAAAAATTCTGTTTGGTTGGGGTTTATAAGCAAGCAAACCTCCTTCATATCAGCAGTAGCCCTAGGTCTTTTTGACTTCCAGGGACCACGCTGGTGGGAATGAGAAGCTTGTCATGCTGGAGCCTGGATTGAAGGTGTATGGGGGTGATGACCGGATTGGGGCCCTGACTCACAAGGTCACACACCTATCCACACTGCAGGTGAGGAGTGGACCCCAATGCAAAGGTACGCCAGGCCCTAGAGCATAGTGTGGGGTGGACGCACAGTGGGAACACTGCCTCCTCCTGACTCTCCCCTCTGTTACCCCAGGGACCTAGAGGGGCACATAAGGGCTTGGGCCCTGGAGACGGCCTGACCTGTGGATGGTTGGAGGGCCTCTTGGGGTTGCCTCCGCTTGGACAGTCCCCTGTTGAGAGCATCACGAGCAAATCAGTGTGCAAATGATGACTAGATAAGAGAAGAAGCTATAGGGTACAACTTAGAGCCAATTGGGGAAATTTAAATATAGACTCTACATGGGCTCACATTCTCATGCTGATGCTAAATTTCTTGGATGTGATGATAGCAAGGTTATGCAGGAGGCTGTTCTTTTCTTAGTAGATGCAGCTAGAGTGTTTAGGGGTGATTTGTCAGCATGTGTGTGACTTGAAATGCATGTGTGTGGAGAGAGCACATGCCTAGATGTGGGAACTGTCAGTATTTGTTGATTCAGGTAAAGGTCATATGGATGTTCATCTTTATTTCAATTTTTTTTGTATTTTTGATGTGAAGAGGTAGGAGGAGGGGAGAGACAGAGAAGAAACAAAAAAGGCGAAGCACCTAAGAAGCAAAACCATCTTTTCTAGCAAGACTTCTAGTTCAGTGGCCTGATTTTGAGGGAGAAAACAAAATATGCTCCTTCAGTTTTGCATGTCAGCAGATACCTGGTTCTAGGGTGGTCCCTGCCCCTGGGGGCACACACGAGTACTGAGTCTCATGGTCACCAGCAAGATCCATGTCTTGCTGTGTGGTGGGCGTGGGGTCTGAGGCGAGACTTATGGGACCAGCGGGCAGTGTGTTTGTGAGCCCTGGGAGCACACGCCAGCACGTGCTTTGTTTCAGGTGGGGTCCCTCAACGTCAAGTGCCTGTCGACGCCGTGTCACACTTCTGGACACATCTGCTACTTTGTGAGCAAGCCCGGCAGTTCTGAGCCCCCTGCTGTGTTTACAGGTGAGGTTTCAGGTGTGTGTGCTGGGGATTGGTAAAGACCCTCTTGGCATGGGGGTGAAGTAGCAGAGCTCTTCCTGTCTGAAACTACATGGGGGTGAGAGGAGGGCCATAGCCCTCAGGGCAGAGCTGGGGCTGGCCTTGTGCTTCCCTCTGACCACTGTCCAGTGCCCTGGGGACAAGCCTTTCTTTGAGAGACTCTGCCTGGTGGAGATGCAGCCTGAGCCACCACTTTCTCCAGCAGCTGCCAGGTGAGCGGGGCAGTGAGCCTCAGACCCGCCTTATGTGGGCCTAACTGATACCCTTGACACTGCCCATCCCGCCATGGGCTGTGAGCCCAGCTGGGTTTGGCAGTCTGTAGCCAGCCCCTGGTCAGAGTCTTCTACACAAAGCAATGCTTAAAGCGGCCTGCCTGGCAGCGCTGACAAGCTCGGACGGTGCTGGATGAGCTCAGGTAGTGGCTGCAGTCTGCAGAGGCCGTGACCCTGAGTGAGGTTTGTGAAGCACGGAGCGCTGGGCTGTGTGAGCAGCACTCAGTCAGGGCAAGCAGGTCTTTCCAGCAATCGGAGGTATTTTTCCCCTTTTGAGAGAAAATGAAAGAATGTTGGTGCTGGTTGGGAAACCTGTGAAGTAGAACAACAGTGACAACAGTCATTCAGGGTGGCATGAGCCAGTGGCCACGGATGAGCAGTAATGGTTGGGAGTGCCCAGCAAAGAGTGGGCTTGTTGGTCCCAGAGACCCCTACTGCCACCCTAACTTTTTAGTGAATGTAAACGGTTTAGTGAATGTAAACGGTTTTAAGTCTGAGTCTCCCAGAAATTGAAGTTACAATCATGATATTGTAATTGTAGTGAAAGTTTGTTTTAAAATACAATGGCTGAATGCAGTGGCTCCTGGAGTGGATCCTGCCATGCATGGAAAACAGCGTTAATCGGAAATGTGCATTGAATCTGGGGTGGAGTTTTTAGTTAATAGCAATGGAGGGACACAGGCTTGTAGTTTTGACAAATATATCAGGGAAACGCCAACTGAGGGGGGGGTGCATAAGGAGCCTCTAGCTTGTCTACAAATCCAAAATTATCCTCAGAACTAAGTTTTTGAAAAATATGTACAGCCATTTTCAGTGTTCTCACTGTAGTGATGGAGATGTGGGGCTGTGAGGCAGGTTACAGGTCCCTGCACATTGTGGCAGCCCCTAGCCTCATGCCGGGCTGAGTCTGACTGTGGTTGGAGTAGGTCAGTTGGCCCACATGACACATGTCCACTGCACTGAAGTGGTCTCGCCTATGTGTGTGTGGTGAGAGCAAAGTGTCCCCACTGAGTGGTGTAGGCTTGAGGTGACAGGAGTGTGCCCGGTGCCTGGTCCAGCAAACCCTCAGGACATCACACTCCTGTTTCTACTGGCCCTTGGTGTGTTCATCTGTAAGGTGGTAAGGCAGTGCCTGGCTCCCACTGTTGTCCGGAACTGGGGGAGTGGCCCTGGGGACTGTGCTGTTAGAAGCTGAGTCCTGCTTTGGAAAGTGTGGAGAGCTGACTGTTGCAAACACAGACCTGAACTGTGTCCTGCACGAGTTGTTACTGTTGTCTGTGTGACAGCAGCTGGCAAAGAGTACATTGTCTTATTGGTGACTTTAATAATAAAATGTGAAAAATCACACAGTGTCCTCAGTGGGGAAGCTAAGGTGTCTGGGGTATCTACAGTGAGGACTAATGGTGTGGGAAATAGGACGACCCAGCAGGGCCCCAGCTGGCCTGTGTGCACAGCCAAGGAATCTGTAGCAGCCAAAGGTGGGATTATTGGTGGTCCCAGGCCTCGAGCCCAGGTCCGAGTGACCCAGGGCCACGCTCCCTTCCCCTAAGATGTAAGTAGAGGAGGTGACAGCCCATAGGAGGGAGTGGCTTTGGGCCTGGAATGTGGTGGGCAGGACTGGGCACTGACAGGCCAGGGAAGAGGCTTGGCAGGTGCTGATGGGAGAGGAATGTTACTTGATGTCATGGAGTCCCAGACCCTTCTCACTGCAGGGGCCTGGAGAGCAAATGCCTATGGGCTTCCACTTGGCACTGAGCCCATTCTCAGAGAAGAGACCCGGAAAGGGAAGCAGCAGAGCATAGAGACCTGGTGGGCGTCAGGCAGAGGGGACACTGTCTAAAGGGTGGAATCAGGAAGTGGTGATCTGCAGGTGGCAGGTCCGAATCTTGAGGGCCCTCATGGGCTATGGGCCCTTGTGAGGGGCTCCTGGAGGGCTCAGGTGAGGCTGATGAGATCAAGGAGGGTATTACAGGATGGCTCTGGCTACCTGGGATAAGGGAAAATGCAGGGAGGCCATGCCTGGGAGGGGGGCTACTGGTGGGTGGGGACAAATGCTGGGGAGGGGGTCTTGGCACTACTGCTGACAGGACTGGGCAGTGAAGGGAGGAGTCAGCATGACCCTAAGGTTTGGGTTTGAGCAGCTGTTTGGGAGCTGGTGGTACCGGTGAGTGAGACTTGAGTGAAAAGTTTGGGCGTGGGTGGGAACCGAGAGCTGTGGGTTGTCTTTGGACCTTGTCGGGTGTCTAGGTGGAGGACACGTCTGAGGCTGGGCCCCAGTCAGCCCAGGGGACAAAGCGGAGCCTTGGCCCACAGACCTCGGGTGATCAGCATCGTCCGGTAGTGGACTATCAGCCTCTCGCGGGGGTGTGTCCTGGCTGCCTCACTGTTCCGTGGCTGTCCTCTTTCAGGTGACACCTTGTTTGTGGCTGGCTGTGGGAAGTTCTTTGAAGGGACAGCAGACGAGATGTACAAAGCCCTGATCGAGGTCCTGGGCCGGCTCCCTCCGGACACAGTAGGCAGAGCCTCTGTCAAGTTCCCTGGCTGGGGGTGTGAGGACACGGCCTGCTCTCCCACTCTGTCCTCTTACCTCCTGTCCTGTGCCCCCCCTCTGCCCCCTGTGACTACCCGTGTATGAGGAAGAGTGGGAGGGTGGGGACATTTTCTCTAGAACCGTAGGTTTTCTCTTAATGTGCTTTTTATTGTTTCACATACATGCAAGAAGCATCTTGTCCTAAGGGGCATCTCCCTGGGTGTCAGTGTTCCAGCACAGGGCCCTTAAGGCCCATCTCTAAGGAGTTTCACGGGGGATTAATGAGTCTCTTCAGAGCTCATGGGTTTGGCTTTTTCCTCAGAGAGTGTACTGTGGCCACGAATATACCATCAACAACCTTAAGTTCGCTCGGCATGTGGAGCCCAGCAACCCAGCCATTCAGGAGAAACTGGCCTGGGCAAAGGTGAGTGGCATATGCTATGGTGCACATCCTATGGGTCAGTCACTGTGAAGTGACTTCCTGGGACCATGTAGGGCCCAGGTTGCTGGCACTCAAGGCATCATTTCCAGAGTGGGCAGCAAGTGCTCCTCAAGGCTGTGAACAAGCTGGGGCTTAGACCACCCAACTTTGTGCAGGAACTAGGTGGCTTGTCAAATCCTTTCTGACTCAGTGGGTCTCGGCTGGACCTGGGACTCTGTGTTCCAACAAGTGCCCTAGCAGGGTGAAGTGCCAGATCCCCTCCCACTTCCCATGTCATGAGCAGCAGGTGGGACTGTGTGGCAGCTGTTTGCTCTGGAGGCTGTTTGTCTGAAGGGCATTTATTTCAACAATGGCCCCAAACTTGCTCCTTGGCTCAGCCCCAGGGGTTGGCTTATTGTCCTGGTGAAGCTCAGTTTATTAATCTTTTTATGCTTTTTGTGTTCTGTCTAAAATATCTTTGCATACCCCTACATCACAAAGATTTTCTCCTATTTTCTCCTAGAGGTTGTATAGTCTTAGCTTTTATGTTCATATAGATTTCTATTTAAGTCAGTGATCCATTTCAAGTTAATGTTTGTTTGTGGTGTAAGGTAAGGGTAGAAGTTCACTTTTTTGCATATTGACATTCAGTTATTCAGCACCGTTTGTTGAAAAGACTGTCCTTTCCTCAGTGGTTTTCCTTGGCATCTTTGCTGAATAAAATGGACTCTGTAGGAATCTACTTCTGGACTCTTATTTTGTTCCATTAATCTGTATGACTGATCCTTGTATCAATAATACTGTCTTGATTACTATAGCTTAGGTAAGTCTGGGAATCAGATAGTAGAAATCCTCTAACTTTATTCTTTTTTAAAAATGGGTTTTGACTCTTCTAAGCCTGCTGCATTTTTGTGTAAATTTTAGGGTCTTTTAATTTCTACAAAAAAGTCAGCTTGGCTTTTGACTGGGTGGGACTATGTTGTAACAAAAGATTTAGAGAGAATTGAGATCATAACAATATTGAATCTGATATAGCTTTCCATTTATTGAGGTCCTTTAGGTTTTTCTCAGCAATATTTTATAATTTTCAGTGTTAAAGATCTTGCACATATTGTTAAGTACTTCATGTTTTTGGGTTTTATTATAAATGATTATTTGTTGATAGTCTTTAGAAATACAATTGATTTTTGTATTTAGACCTCATAGACCCATGCTAAACTCACTTATTCTAGCATTTTTTTCTGTAGACAATCATGTCATCAACTAATACTTTTATTTCTTCCTTTCTAATCTCTATACCTTTTATTATTTTTCTTGCCTTATTGCACTGGCTGACACCTCCAGTACAGTGTTAAACAGAAGTGGTGAGAGTGGACATACTTGGCTTGTTCCTAGTCTTAAGGACAAAGCATTCATTCTTTCACCATTAAGTACAAAATTAGCTGTGGGTTTTTCATAAATCCTCTTTATAAGGCTGATGAAGTTCACTTATATTCCTGGTTTTCTGAGAGTTTCTACCATGAGTTAATGTTGAAATTTGTCAAATGATTTTTCTTCATTTATTATATAATCATGTTTTTCTCTCCCTCTTTTACTCTGTTAATATGATGGAGTGCATCAGTTGGTTTCAAATGTAAAACCAATCTTGCTTTCTGGATAAACCTTAGTCATAGTCTGTTATTCTTTTCATATGTTGCTAGAGTCTGTTTTTCTGTCTGTGTTCAAAGGGATATTGGTCTGTAGTTTTATTTTCTTACATTGTCTTTTTCTAGTCATAATATCAGGGTAATGCTGGCCTCATAAAATAAGAAAGTGCTTTTGCCTCCTAGTTTCTGAATTTTCTATGATTGTTACTATTTCTTTAATGTTTGTTAGAATTTACCACTGAAGCCATGTGGACATTGAATTCTTTTTGTGGAAAGATCTTTTGTTATGAATTAATTTCTTTGTGTAGGGCTATTAGATTTTAATATCTTCTTTAGTTAGTTTTGTTAGCAACTTGTATCTTTCAAGGAATTTGTCCATTTCATCAAGGTTTTCAAATTTATTGACAGTTTTCATACTTTTTGTTCCTTTTTAATATCAACTTTATTGAGGTTTAGTTAACGTGTAATAAACTGCATCAGTTTATTTATTTTTAATAAATATATCTTTATTGATTTCAGAGAGAGGAAGGGAGAGGGAGAGAGAGAGAAACATCAATGATGAGAGAGTCATTGATCGGCTGCTTCCTGCACGCCCCCGACTGGGGATCAAGCCTGCAACCCTGGCATGTGCCCTGACCAGGAATCGAACCATGATCTCCTGGATCCTAGGTTGATGCTCAACTGCTGAGCCACACCGGCCGGGCAAAACTGCATCAGTTTGAAGTGAAGAACTGAGTGAATTTTTACAGATGTACATACCGGTGAAATGTCTATCGCTACAGTTAAGGCACAGAACATTTCCATCACCCCCTATCTTCCTCATGCCTCTTTTTCACTGCCCTGGCTCCAGAGGACTGCTGATCTATTGTATACCACTAGAAGGTAGTTTGCATTTCCTAGTATTTTATATAAATGGAACTATACAGTATGTACTCTTTTATCTTTTTTTCACTCAGCAGAATGATTTTAAGATTCATTCATGTTGCTGCATGTATCATTAGTTCATTCCTTTTTATTGCTAAATAGTATTCCATTGTTTGGATATGCCACATTTTGTTTATCCATTCATCTCTCAATAGTTGTTTCCAGTAATGGGCTGTTGTAAATAAAGCTGCTATGAACATTTGTGTGCAAGTCTTTGTGTGACATCTATTTTAATTTCTCCTGAGTAAATACCTAGGAATGGAATGGCTGGGTTGTTTATAGGTGTATGTTTGACTTTAAAGCATCTGCCAAACTATTTTCCTAAGTGTTTGTATTATTTTACATTTCTACCAGCAAAGTATGAGAGTTCCAGTTGTTCCACATCCCTACCAGCACTTGGTATTGTCAGTCTTTTTAATTTTAATAATTTTAGTGAGTACGTACTGGTGGTTCATTGTGCTTTTAAGTTGCACTTACCTGGTGTCCAGTAATGCTGAGCATCGTTTTATATGCTTACTGGCCATTTTGTGAAGTGTTTGTTCACATCTTTTTGCCCATTTATAAAACATGGGCTTGTCTCCTTCTTATTGAATAATAAGAGGATTTTTAAAAGTATGTTCTGGATACAAGTCCTTTGTCAGATGTATGTATGGTGAGTAGTTTCTCTCATTCTGTGGCTTGCCTTTTTTTTCTCAACAATGTCTTTTGAAGAGCATTTTAAATTTTGATGAAGTCCAACATATTAATTCTCTTTTATGGTTCATACACTTTTGTCTCCTAAGAAATCTTTGCTTTTTCCAACGTCAAAAGTTTTCTCTTGTGTTTTCTTTTGGAAGTTTTACAGTTTTGGCTTCCAGTTTTAGATCAGTAGGACGGCCTCCCCAGCGTATGTGTTGGCGCTGATCCCCCCTTTTGTTTCTGATGTTAGTAATTTGTATTCTTTCTCTTTGTCATTCTTACCAATTTTGTTGATTTTTTAAAGAACAACTTTTGCCTTACTTTTCCTTGTTTGTTTTTCCATTGCCCCGATTTCTGCTCTTATCTTTTTAAACTCCTTCCATCTGCTTACTGGGGATTTACTTCCTTTTTTTTATAGATTCTTAACGTGGAGCCCGAGCTCACTGATTTTAGACCCTCCTGCATTTCTAATGTGTGCACTTGTGGCGCCCCCCAAATTCTGAGGTGTTGTATTTTCCTTATCTCCATTTGGAATATTTTAAAAATAGCCCTTGTGAGTTCTTCTTTGACATATGGGCTATATCGAATCGTGTTAAACTTCTTTTGCCTTTTAAACATTTTGTTACAAGAATTTTCACACATATGGAAACATTGAAGGAATTTCATAATGAATGTTCATATACCTAACACCTACTTTCTACTACTAACATTTTATTGTACTTATTTTATCACTGTCCAGCCATCTTACTTTCAAATAAACTAATGTGTGAATGTCACTTATATATCATTTTACCAATCCCTTTAGAGGGCATTGAGGGTTCCTAACTTTCTTGCTCTTGTGAACTGCGCTGCAGTGTTTCCAGCCTGTACCCTTCCTGCTTCTGTAAATCACTGCATGTTAACACCCACCTTAACGGGAAATCTAAGAGGTTACGACAGTTTACCCCCGCCAGCTATGCATGTAAGAACCTGCTTTAAAATTATCCTCAGAAGAGAGTTTACTTGTTTTCTCCCCTCACAGGAGACAATAAGATTTCCTAGGAGAGCCCGGCCGGGCGTGGCTCAGCGGTTGAGCGTCGACCTGGGATCCAGGCGATCGGGGTTCGATTCCCAGTCAGGGCACATGCCCGGGTTGCGGGCTCGATCAATGACTCTCTCATCATTGATGTTTCTATGTCTCTCTCTCTCTCTCTCTCGCTCTCCTTTCCTCTCTCTGAAATCAATAAAGATATATTTAAAAAAAAAAAGAAAAAGATTTCCTAGGAGAAGCGAATACTGGAGAAGCACAGGGAGTAGTACAAAGCATTCTAAGCTTGTTTTTACCAGAGGGGAAAACACAGAGATTAGCAGTAAACCTTCATCTCGATGCCAGCGATCACAGGGTGAGGGGTGGGAAGATCCAGGCCCTCAGGTCTGAGGGCCCCTGATAGTCAGGGAGCCTGGGTTTGGGTGTCAGCAGCTGTTGTCCAGGCTCTGGCTTGACCCTCCAGGTTAGCTGGGCAGAAGGGCAGGGTTGCTGGGAGGATGGAGACCCCAGCTGTTAATTCTGACCTTCCTGTAGAGTTTTATAGAAGCTACAGTTGGCCAAACGACTCAGTGTGCATCTTCTCTCTGCCTTGATCAGTGTTGATCAGGGGCAAGACCATCCCGACTGGAGGTGACAAGATGCCCACTGAGGGCTCTTCTGAGTGCTTTTCCCTTGGGAGCCCATGTAGGAAAAGCCCTGCCCAAAGACCCCCTCAATGAGAACTTACCACTCTGTAGAGGGGCTGTCATGCCAGGGGAAGGACCCTGGGCGTGTCTTCTCGCTGTCCTTCCCAGCAATGAGCTGTGCACAACCCATGCCCTGTCTTGGGGAAGGGGCAGTGGGTGTTTTCTTCTTTTCTGTGGTTACTTCTGCATTTTTGCTGGTTATTCTATAATGTGAAACATAAACTTCAGATTAATAAAAAGAAAGCTCCATGTCCCCCTCCCCCTCCAAGACAGCAAGGGAAGGAAGACAGGTTGCTGGTGGCAGCTGCAACACTCACATCTCTCCATGAGCAAGAAGGGGCCTGACCTGAACTGATCTAACTGCTCACTTTGCCTTCTCAGCCAGATGAGTTAAGATCATTAGAAGGTATTTTGAAATGAAGATATTTGGAAGTTTCTGTAGTAAAGTGATGTTTCTTTTGCAGGAGAAGTACAGTATTGGGGAGCCCACAGTGCCGTCTACCATTGCAGAGGAGTTCACCTATAACCCGTTCATGAGAGTGAGGTGAGGGTGCGAGCAGGTGGGTGCAGGCAGCGGCCCGTGCTGTCCTTGGCCTCTGCTTCATTCCAGCACTATGTCCACTCACTGAAACGCCTGCAGGTCCCAAATAGTGGAGGGACTGCCCTGAAATCCTGATTAAGTATGGGCACAAATCAGACACATTTTCTTAAAGGCTGGGAGGGATACTTTTCTTGGTGCCCGGAGGCAGAATCCATGGGTGGGGTGCATTTGCAAGGAGCTGGGCAGTGCCAGACAGCAGCATGGGGTTGATGTCCCTGCTTTCTGGGTCACCAGCAGGACTGGGCCTGATCAGCACACCATCCACAGTTAGAAACACCAAGTTGGCCATGGGCTGTTCCCTGGTTTCCTGGGAGGGGAGGTGGGCAGGGCAAGGCAGCCTGCACCCTGGCGATTGGCTCCTGCAGGGAGAAGACAGTGCAGCAGCACGCGGGCGAGACGGACCCTGTCACCACCATGAGGGCCATCCGCAAAGAGAAGGACAATTTCAAGGTGCCCCGGGACTGAGGTGGCCGCGGGGCCTGGGGTGCCCATGGCTGCTGCCTTCAAGCGCATTCCGGTCTTCAGATGTTTTAGGTGAACTTTCTGCTGGGAGTGTAGGAAATTCAGTCTTGGTTTAATTTTAAGTTAATTTCAAGGCCCTTTGCTTGTGTTATCAAATGTTTTCATGCATATTTATAAGAGAAAAATTTAGAAAGTATTTATTCCTGGAAGTTCTGCTTGCAGACTCTGTTCTCTGGCTTTTTTGTGGGGCCCCTGCATGACCCCCCAACAAGAGCTGTCCCTTTCCCCTGCCAAGGGCAGCAGCCCCGTGCTCACCTAGAAGGGGGTGCGCTCTCCTTTTCCTGGCACCCTGAGAAGGGACCCGCTGTCACCCCCATTTATTCCTCCTCTGCCCTCCTGCAGCTACTTCTAGAGGAAGTCATTCTCTCAAGGATCCTGTATCATTACCTTCACAAAGTCATTTTTGTTTTGATATAGTCAGGCCTTGAGCACCTATCTGAGCTGTCCGAGCAAGGAGGAACAGGGAGAGGCAGCCATGGGGTGTCCTGATGGGACTCGGGGGGTGTGGCCCAGACCCAGAAGACAGTTGGTGGCAGGAAGAAGGGGCATTTGTTCCCAACTAACTCTTTTCTGCATTTGGAAGTTTCCTTCTGTGCTTGATATTTTCAGTTTGGCTTCGATCTGTCGATCTGTGATAAAACAATAGTGCCGCTTACCGAGCCTGTCACTGCAGCCTGTGGTCAGTCTTTGCTATTGTGATGATACGTAGACTGTGTGCCACCGCTTCTGTTGATGTCGCCTTTACTGCTCTTCCCAGACAGGTCATGACAAAGCATGATTGTCTATCGCCACTCTCTATAGAGTCCTCAGGTCCCAAAGGTCATTTGTCCCTGTTCTTGGCTGAGCTTGGGGTGCATGTCACTCGGCAGTTGCCTGCATGGGCCATGCTGCTGTGAGTCTGGGAATAAGGACATTTAAAAATTGCTTGAACCCAGCTGGTGTTGCTCAGTGGTTGAGTGTTGTCCCGTGCACCAGGAAGTAATAGATTCACTTCCGCATCAGGGCACAAGCCTGGGTTGTGGGCTTGATCCCCAGTGGAGGGCATGCAGGAGGCAGGCAATCCATGTTTCTCTCTCATTGATGTTACTCTCTCTTCCTTTCTCTGAAATCAATAAAAACATATATTTTTAAAAATTGCTTGAGAATCACAGACATTCTTGTCCAAAGATTGTGACATTCTAGATGGAGCCAAAGCTCTCTGTGACCAGCAGCTGCCCCTTACCTCTAGGGGTGTCATGGAATGGGATTTGCATGGACCTTTCTAGGTGCTTCATTTTACAGCTTTGTATCAACTATGGAAATGCTGGTGCAGGTATCTCAGCACGGTGTTCCATTGCTTTGTGAAACCTGTAAACACAAGATTGCGAGGGTCCATGTGGACTTGTGGGCCTGATGCCTTGTGTTGTTGGCAGCCCCTCCCCAGGGACATTGAGGTAACCACTAGTTCCCAACAGCACACGTGGCTTCCCTGGCTGCAGGAAGGCTGCGCTCAGGAGGAGTGATTCTCATTTTAACCTGCTGCCGACAGGCCCCCTCCTGCCAGCTTCCTTCATGGCCCTGCGTCTCTCAGCTCCTGTGTTCCTGATCAAACGTTTAAATGTCAAAGAGTTGAAATGAAGCATTTATAAAATGTAGGGAAAATGTGCCCCGGCACCCAGCTGCCCAGGGCCATCCCTCCTTCTTGTCCTCTGGGAGAGCTGAGCCCTAAAAAATGGGCGCTTTCACCTTGGCGTGTTGGGGTCCTGTAGCCGCCCTCCAAGGCTTGCTGGTGGGCTCTGGCTCTGTGGTTGGTCTGTTGGGCAGGGGTTCTCACGGTCAAGGTTGCATGTGTGGCCCATGTCCTGGGTCTGGGTTCACAGCTTTGACGCACTCTCCTCCAGGCTCTGCTGAGCTGGCAGCAGAACGCTGGCCAGAAAGATGTGCATTTGGACTCCGAACATTTGGCCCCTCTGGTGAAGTGAACTGATCCACTGCAGCGTGGTTTCCTCCTAGGTTTCCTTTCTTACTGACTAGGGGTCCTTTCGCTTCATGCCACACACTTCACGAGTCCTTTGGTTGTATATGTGAGCAGTTACCCCCTAGTTTGTTGCCAGCTTCACACTCTGGTGCCTTGTTGAAGAAATTAATAATTTATTATAGTCAAATGTGACTCTTTTCACTTCATGGTAAGTGCTTTTGCATCCTGTTTAACAGCTCCCTCCCCTGACACCTTCCTGTAATTTCATTCAGTTGCTTTGGTTTTGTTTCTCACGCAGAGGAGGTTTCTAATTCACGTGAAAGTGCTATGGTTACTGGACACCTATGTCCCTCTCCTTCGTTGGCACCACCAGCCCTGGTGAGCATCCGGGGTCAGTGTGTTTTGTGGCCCCACATTCCCTGTCCCTGCAGCTTAAGAACAGCTCTTCATTTCCAGGAAGGGACACAGCCCAACCTGGTCCTTCAGGAGAACATTGGCCCTTTGCCCTTACGTAGAAATATTAGGATATTGGTATCTGGGATTTGGACTGGCGCGACACTGACTCGCTAGATTGGGAAGAAATGACTTTTGGTGATTTGGAGAGTTTCAGGTTTTGAATGTTCCGCTTTTCCATCCACTTGGATCTCTGGTGCCGTCCACACTATGCCACTAAAGCGACCTCTGATGCTGACCTGGTGTTAGCCCAGCCTCAACGGGCACGGTCCCCAACACAACTGCCTCACCATAGACACCACCTGCACTTCTGACCAACTGGCTACAAATTCAGGGGTTCCCTTGATCACTTTGGATTCAGTAACTCACGAGGATGACTTAGAATTCAGGGAGATGCCATCTTCTGACATTATTATAAAGAACATGATGAAAAGAGTTTTATGGTAAAGGATATAAGCCAGGACCAGCCAAGTGAAGAGACGCATAGGGTGCGGTCTGGGAGGTCCAGAACACTGACTGTCCCTTTCCGTGGAGCGCAGGTGTCTCCCCCTGGCGCATCCGGGTGCTCACCCGCAGGAAAGCCCACGGGCCTGTGTCGAGCTGACTTGGGGTGTCACTGTGTCAGCCATGGAATCACTGGCCATGTGATTGAATTTCAGCCACCCCTATCCCCCATCCAACCCTCTGATCACAGGGTAGATCTTTTTGGTGACAGTCCCCATTGAGTCACCTCATTAGTGTAAGCTCAGGTGACCAGGGGAATTTTAAGGAATTAGAGGCTCCTTCTCCTCAATAGGGACAAAGACCAGAGAAATTCTTTTATTATTTGGCAGATGTCTTTCCATCAGGTTTTATAACTCTCCCCAGAGCCAGTTCTCTGGGCCGACTGGTCCCTAGGTACTTTGCTTTCTGATGTGTTGTAAGTGGCACCTTCACTTAAACAACTCCAATGGTCAGAAAGTAAAGGGCAGTTGACTTGGTTCCTGGGAACCCGCTAAACTTGCTCATCCTGCTGTCGCCTCCTTTGTATACCTTTTCTAGTTCCATCTGGGACACTGGTTTTCCACATCTCCCTGTGTTGAAGTGAGAGTAGACAGTGGCCTTTATTCTGACTTCACGGTTTACTAAAATGTGAATGCTGCTGAGGTGGCAGACACAGGACGCTCCGGGGACTCAGAATGGACAGACAGAAGACCCTTCCCTTGTGGAGCTTCTATTCTGGCGGAGGGATGAAGACGGAAGGGGACTGACGTGCTGGCAGGTCAGACAAGGGAGCATCGAAGAGGAAAGCCAGTGGGAAAAAGTACATAGAGCACCCAGGGTGGCTCCTTAAATAGTGGCTAAGGGGAGGCCCCGCTGAGGAGGTGGCATGAAGTAAAAATTGAGGGGATCTAGGGAGCGAGCCGCCCAGATATCTGGGAAAGCAAGCAAGGCTGCGAGGGCAGCTCGGGGAGGAGGGGTCAGTGTGCAGGTCAGAAGGACCTCGGCGCCCCCTCTGAGACGTGCAGAGGCAGGTCGTAGCTGCCCCTAACTAGGATCTCTGAGTGTCATGGCAGGGTCGCTGGAGGGGCAGCTGGGGCAGCAGCCTGGGGAAGGCCAGGGCCGGTGGGAGCGGTGCGGTTCCCATGTGAGCGGAGGGGCAGAGGCCTTTGCTCCCAGCTGGGATCTGAGCCGTGGGCGCTGAGTTAACTCACCCGAGACGTGGGGGTTGGGTTTGGACAAGTTGAGTTTAAAATGCCTGTGAAACACCTGGTAGGCAGAGGAAGTTCAAGGCAAGGTCCAGCCTGGAAACGCATGTGAGGGAGTCGCCAGCACGTTGGTGAGTCCTAAAGCCGGGAGATGGCGCCATCATGCACGAGTGAGGTCGAGGCAGCAGATGTTCATGGGTCTGGAACGGAAGGGGAACCGGAAGGTGGAGGAAAACCAGAGGAGTGGTGTTGCCAGGAGGAAGCAGCAGGCGCCGCATAGGGGCAGGACGCCGCTTGTCCCCGCAAGGCTGGTGGTCAGGCTGAGAACCTGTCATTCCACCGAGCACAGTCCTACGTCTTTCCTCTGCCAGGAGGCACCCCAGGTGGGAACTGGATCTGCCTGTGGATGTTTCTGCACCCGTTGCCCTTCTCCTTTAGTCTGGTGAGTTATGTGAACAGCTTTTCAGTGCTAAGTTTTCTTCAGAGTCTTGGGCTAAATCCCATTTCATCGGAATGTCAGCTGCTGGTTTGGGCAGCTGGCTCCTTTCTCATACAATCTGTCTGGTCTTGGCAAGTGATAAAGTGACATGCAGTGTTTCTTCACGTCTTCAGGAATTTGTAGAAGGCAATTCTAGTCTGAGCCTGGTGTTTTCTTTTGTGGGTATTTTTAATGGTTATAGGGCTACTTTAATTCTTCTTCAGCTGCTTTTGGTAAGTTTTTTTCTTTCCGATGTTTACAAATTGTGTTTGCAACGTCCTTACCTGGGTTTGACACAGCTCTCTGCTATTTGCCCTCTTGCTTTGGGCTCCTGCTTTCTCAACTACTCGGGGAATCTCTCCTTTTCTAGTAAGAACAGGAAAGCTAAAAATCCCCAAGTACCCAGTGTCAGGCAGACACATATGCTGCACAGAACTTTCATGACTTCTCATTTTTATTTCTTCCTTGACACATGTACAGGTGTCTGAGGTGGACTGAAGGTATTTCATCAAATATAAACAAAGCCCTGTTACTGCTTCCTAAACAGCATCTTCCCTTTTCCTTCTGAGGATTTAGTGTTTCCCAACTGCTCTGTCACCTGTTTCCCTGGATGCTGGCTCCATCTCTCAAGAAGCCACGTCCCTGTGCATTTAGTTTCACCCTTTACTGATGCCTCTGGGACCTGCCTCCTGAGTGGTGGTCTTATGTCCAATGGGCCAGCACACTGGCCTGGCCAGGTCCTTAATGTTTCTTCGACAGCGACCCAGCTGATCTGCTGTGTGTCATGCACTAGTCCCAGTGGTACATTTCTCTCTAGCTATAAAATGGCTTAGGTTTTAGTAATGACTGTGTTTTACTAATAAAAACCTTTTAGAATTAGTTTTATTTAAATTGAGGTGAGAGTCATACAACATACACTTAGCCATTTAAAAGTGCATAATTCAGAGACACTCAGTACATTCACACTGTTATGCAGCCCCACCTCTGCCTAACATGGTGATCATTACATTAATCTGTGAGTAAAACTGTAAAAGGAGAGGCCTCTCCTGGTGCTCCCACTTCTATGGATGACTGGTTCTGATTGGGGCAGCAGAGAGGCCTGGGGAAGAGGCTATCTACGTGGATCCAGGGAGCCTGGCCTAGGGTCCCTAGATAGATCCTGAGAGGGCCCTGGGACACACATATCCCTCCCATGCCTCTGTTTGCTTGAACCTCTGAGCTCAGACCCTCAAACCAATCCAGGATTCCCCCGAGGCCAGGTGGGTATGTGGGGGGTAGGAGGCCAAGGAGGCAGGACACCAAGCACCAGGTCCTCCCTCTTCCTACTTCAGTCTTTCCCTGGATCCCTGGCTCAGAGTTTTTCTGTTCTTCCTGCTTGTCAGCAAATATTCTGAGGCTGTGACCTTGACTTAAGCTCTACAACCAATAACTTTTCTTTTCTCTCTGATTTCTGTTGTAACAATCCTCTGCTGCAGCAACAAATACCTCAAATGG